TGGGGTTGTTAACCAATGTCATAAAACAACATGTGTACTTCTGTTTCATGAGAAACTATTTGTTCTGTAAGCCTTCACCTGAAGTACAATAAAAAAAATAAAAAAAACAAAACAAAACTTTTTACTGGAAAACGTCAAAAATGTCACACAGACTTGGAATTGAGAGGGCTCCATGAGCCCATGCCCTCCGTGCTCATCAGCCCCAGGCCCCTCGCTCAGTGGTATCTCTGTCCTCCCTGTGCCCACCCATCCCAGTGGGTTAAACCCATTGCTGTTGAGTTGACTCTGACTTGTGGTGTTCCCATACGTGTCAGAGTAGAACTGTGCTCCACTGGGTCTTCAGTGGCTGATTTTTTCACAAGTAGATTGCCAGTTGTTTTTCCAAGGCACCTCTGGGTGGTCTCGAACTGCCAACCTTTTGGTTAGCTGCTGAGCGTGTTAACTGTTTGCACTCACTGCCCAGAGACTTCAAAGCAAATCCCAGGCATCTTGCCATCTCATCTTAAACCTGTCAGGGTCCACCAGGGGAAGATGAGGATGTAGAATAAGTAGCCGCAGTGTAGAGGTACAGCTGTAGGGTTTGTAGTGCTGCCTCATGACTGAGTCTGATTCGTGTGGGCGGGGACGGGGGTGGGGTGCCAGCAAGGGTGTGTGCTCCGTGAGCCCCCTCCGCCTCTGAGAGCTGCATGGAGGAGCTCGTCTGGACAGACATGCCCCCCCGGAGCCCAGGCCAGAGCTGTGCTTGCCCTTGTGGGAGCTTCAGGCTGCTGCACGGGGTCCTTGTGGCCTGGACGCTCTCGGTGCCTGATGTGGATGGGCTCCTGGCAGGAGCTGTGCCCCGCTTCCTCCCTGCCAGCCTCAGGGCAGGGAGGGACCCCTGAATTTGCCGCTGCTGCCATCCCTGGGCGCTTCCCCGGTGACTGGCAGGTGGAATGACCTGCCTCTGTGCTGTGTCCCGTCTCCCATAACCACCCCTGCCGGACTCTGGGGGCGTGCTGGGAACCACAGCCTCTTGAAGCTCAGACCCAGGACCAGGAGATTAAAAGTGCTGGAGGTCAAACGCCCAAAACCTGCTGTTCCCTGAGGCCGCTCCATCCTCCTTGGCTATGGCCTCAAGCAGATGACACATGTTATTGCAAGGCCACTTGGCGCTGGCCCAGGAGGACCTGTCCCAGAGGGTCTGGAGACATGGCTGGAGGTCACACCCCCACTGTGGGGTGGGTGCACCCCCACCCGTGTGCACATCCCCCGCGGGGTGGCAGCAGCAGCAGCTGTCACCCTGGGTAGATGGTCAGGCAGAGAGCCAAGCTCCTTGCGCGTGCACTGAGGCAGGACTGCTGCGCCTCTCCTTTCCCTCCATCAGCACCCGCCTAGCAGAGGTGACCTGTAACCCGAGCTGCCGGTCTCCGCGTCTGTGAGCCCCTGCTGGGCCGTCTGCTGGTGAAGGGAAGGACGGGTTTGGGGTTTGGGTACCTTAGACCTCAGGCCCCTGACCGCCCAGGCTGCCCTTTTCAGATTGTCCAGTGGGGCCGGGAAGTGCCCTCCCACCCTCCCCCGCCCCTCTGCCTCCCCTCCTTCGTCCTCCACCCTCCCCAGAGTTCCTGTCCCTGCAGCTCCCAGGACGCAGGCCCAGCCCTGTGGGTGTGAGGGTGACAGGTCGCTTGCTCCGTACTGTCACACGGGCGGGTGCGGTGCGCTCCCAGGTCACCCGCCTCCCGGCTTTGTCTCTGCGTCTCCGCTGTCTCAGCGCCTCTGCTCCAGGCCGGGCGGCGAGCTGGCCGGGCTGGCTTAGGCAGCACTGACACCTAAGATGAGTGTTGGTGACTGTCCGCGCGGTGTGGCCTCAGACTTGTGGTTTGAATGTTTTATCATTTCTTGGTTGTCTCACAGCGACTCCGGGGCCGTCTGGGTGGTCTGAGATGTTCCTGCTGCCTGCAGGCGACGCTGAGGTGATGATGTGGGTTCCTGCAGTGGTTCTCCGGGGCCCCTTTGAGACGCTGCCTTATCCCTCTTGAGGCTCCGGGCCATGTTGGAGAACTGAGGGGGAGGAGCAGGGGCTGTGCAGGCTGCCCCTGAGCGCCAGGTGTTCTCTTCCAGGCTGGCCCGGGGACCCGCATCATGGCTGCAGGGGTCCAGGACTTCAACCGGACAGAGTCCGACCGGCTGAATGAGATCAAAGGCCACCTGGAAATCGCCTTGTTGGAAAAGCACTTTCTCCGTGAGTACCCCAAGGGGCTGGGGACGGTGTCCTGCTGGAGTACCATTGGGGCTGGGCTGATGGACCCACTGCCAGCTCTGTCCCTGGACGCATGGGGGGGGATGGCTGTGGGTGGTGTGAGTCCCCACCTGTGGCCTCAGGAGGCCTGCACTCTCTGCTCGGCCGTGGGGTCGTTGCTCTGGAGTGAAGGAGCTTGTGAGGGAGGAACAGAGTGTCCCCGGAAAGTTCCATTTGTCTTAGTGACCTGGTACAGCACGCTGAACGGCGAGCTTAGAGTTTGTCAGTTTGGTGCCTCTTGGAGGAATCTGAAATTTACGTCCTGTTGTGTTTTCCTGGCATGGACTGAGGAGGAGGGGAGCGGTGGGGTTTCGCTGTTTGTTTTCTCCCATGTTGGTACCTGGGCCATTTGTGCTTCTCAGCCATGGGGTCCCCACCTGCCGAGTGCCGTACAGACCTGGTCTCGCTCCTCGCTGCCCCTCTGTGTCCTCCCTGGGTGACAGACGAGGACACCGAGGCCCATGGGGTGATTTTAAGGGCGGGTCTGGTGACACCCCAACAGCGCTGGGGAGTGACTCAGTCTCCCCACGTGTTGAAGCTGCTGTTGAGCCGGCTTGGGTGGGGTGGGGGCCAGGCGGGGTCTATCCCAGGCTGGCGGGAGGGGATTGGACCGCCTGGCTATAGCGCTGGCCACGTGGAGCCTGAGAGGGTGTGCTAAGGTGGCCGTAGCGTCCCTGGGGCTTAGGGGTCTCAGTGTGAATGGATGCCTTAGCCAGGCCAGCGCGGGAGCCCTCTCCTTTGGGTGTGTGTCCATCGACCCTGGCCACTATCCAGCAAGTGCTGGCTGAGCACCTCCATAGGGAGGTTGTTCCAGGGGCCCCAGGGAGGCAGAGCTGGGCGGATCTGCTCTGGCTATCAGCCCCAGGACACCCGCCTTACTGTCTGTGTGGACCGTGTGAAGTTGCCCTTTTGTGGGCCAAAAATGACCGCATATTAGCAGTGCCACAGGGCTCAATGAGCCACCAGAGCAAAGTGCTCCCAGGAGGGGAGAGGGTCTGTAAGAGCATCTAGCAGGAGCCATGGCCTGGGACGGGAGACGTCCAGAGGGAGGGATTCCCTAGGCGAGGGACAGACAGGGAGACGGGCCGGCAGGGTCTCTGTGACGCTGTTGACTTAGATTCATTTTGAGATGGGTCAGGACCCAGTTGCAAAATAAAGACAGAAGCCCAGCATGTCACTCGGCCGACAGAGCTTGTTAAAAAGCTCTGCCTGGTCATGGAGCCCCGCTGCCGGCCCCCTTGGACTCCGCTTGTGGTTTCTGCCCAAGGGGCACCTAGTCTTGCTCCCTGTCATCTTGTTTTGGGAAATCACAAGCTTCAGCGCTGACAGCACATGGGAAGGCAATTACAGGCACTTTTTAATAATGAAAAACTTCACATCCTCACAGAAATAGAGCAAATAGTGTAATGAATCTCTCCTGTGCCTGCCACCGGCTTCAACAAAATCAGTTCACAGCCAGGCTTGTTTCCTCTGCCCACCCACCTAACCTCACCCCACCCTGATTATTTTGAAGCCAACCCCAGGCATCCTATCATTTCACTTGTAAATATTTTAATATGCAGCTCAGCATGTTTTAAAAACCAAGGCCACGAGTCCAATCTCACAACTAAAAAAAAAACTTTTCTTTAATATCATCAGATCTCCAACTTAAGTTCAACTTTCCCTAAAGAGAAAAAGACAAAACCCGTTGCCATTGAGTTGATTCCAACTCATAGCCACCCTGTAGGACAGAGTAGAACCACCCGACGGGGTTACCAAGGAGTGGCTGGCCGACCTTTATGGTTAGCAGCTGGACTCTTAACTGCTGTGCCACCAGGCCTCCCAACTGTCCCTGAGTGTCTCATAATTTTTCTGTGACTTTGTTTGAATCAACAGCCAGACCACATCGTGCGTTGTGATTGGTTGGTTGATCTCTGGCCCCTCCCACTCTGTAGGTTCCCTCTGCTTTGCTCTTTCCCCCGTTTGTTGAGGAGCCAGGTCACTGCCGGTGGAGTTGCCCACACTGGACTTTGCTGATTGTGATCCTGGGAGTGAGCTTGATGTGGTGTAGCCCGGCCCTCCGTCCCCTCAACTTCCTACAGGGAGACTTAGACACTCGATGGGATTCAGGCTGATCTTTTGGGGGGGGTTCCTTCGTTAATAGTGTGTGCTTCTAGGAGGTGAGCTTATCTTTAATGTTAGGGTCTTGATTATTGCTAAGACTCATCATTTCATTGATGATGGTGATAGCTGCCGTCAAATCGACTCTGACTCACGGCGACTATCTTAGTTATCTCGTGTTCCTGTAACAGAAATACCACAAGGGGGTGGCTTTAACAAACAGAAATTTATTTTCTCACAGTGTAGGAGGCTAGAAGTCTGAATTCAGGGTGCTGGCTCTAGGGGTTGGTTCTCTCTCTCTGGCTCTAGGGGAAGGTCCTTGTCTCTTTGCAGCTTCTGTTTCTCGATTGTTTGGAGATCTCATGTGGCGTGGTGTCTGTCTTCCCCCGTCTGTGCTCGCTTGCCTGTGCCTGATCAGCTTGGTTTATCTCTCAGAGGTGATTAGTTTAAGACACACTGGACCCTGATATCACCTCATCAACATAATAAAGAAAACCCTGTTTCCAAGTGGGATTACATCCATAAGTACAGAGGATAGGAATTGTAACGTGTGTTTTTGGGAGACACAGTTCAGTCCATAACAGCGACCTTATGTACAACCGAATGCAACATTACTCAGTCCTGCATCAGCCTCCCAATCACCAGCATGTTTGAGTCCATGGTCGGAGCGCCTGTGCCAGTCCATCTCACCGAGGGTCCCGCTCCCTCTCATTGGCCCTCTGCTTCTCCAAACAAGATGTCCTCCTCTAGTGATTGATCCTTCCTGATGATGTGCTCAAAGCAAGCAAGTCAGACAGTGTTCTGTGATCCTTAAGGTTCTCATTGGCTAATTTTTGGAAGTAGATCTCCAGGCCTTTCTAGTCTGGAAGCTCCACTGAACCCTGTCCACCACGGGTGACCCTGCTGGTATTTGACATGCTAGTGGCATAGCTTCCAGCATCACAGCAACACGCAGGCGACCACAGTTCAACAGACTGACAGATGGGTGGTAGACCATTTCATGAGAGGCTGAGAATGGTCATTTTTCTACTCTGCCTTTTTTCTCCATACCTGATGTATTTCTGAAAACCAGAGTCCCTTCATCAACTACTTGGTCCCCCTGAGATATCGTTCATACAGGAAAGTCAGGAGTCATGTTTAATTTCCCCCCTTTATTTTCCAGTTTTCAAAATAATGAGCTGATTCCAGAGGTGACCAGCGATGGTGTTATTCATGTTTGGTATCATCATGAGATCGTGGGTTTAACCGTATTTGAGATGTTGTTACCATCAGTTACCATCTTCTTGATACTCACCCCTGTGGTCTGAGCGGGCCCTTGCTTTTTGGTGTTACAAGATATTCCAGGTTCCTCTTAACCATGTCCTCCCTCAGATCTGGAATTAACCATGTCTCCAAAGAGCCCTGGTTCGTTTTGGTGGAAAATGGTATGCAGAGACTCAGTGAAGATTCCAGGGCACTCGCTGCTGCTGGCTGGTATCCAGCCTTTCTGTGGACAGGGCTGGGGCGTCGTGAGATGACTTGAATTCACGTCCAGGACCATGGGGTTTTCTCCTTCCCTCATCCAACTTCTGTCTCCGTGCTGAGATCCTGGTTCTCAGTGAGTGGTACCAACAACTACTTGTTTGTTTTAATCCTGTAACAGTGCAGAATAAAGCAGCAGCACTACCGTCAGCAGTAGGGATTCCTAAAAACTGTGTTTGTTTACGTTCATTTCTAGTTCTTTTGTTCCCAGGGTAGCACAGTCACATCACTGAGCTTTAAAGTCACGGGCAGGGGGCGTTCTCCTTCTCCGTGGCTGTGTCATCAACTCAGCACAGAGTTGGCCTTATTTATTTACTTTTTTCCACTTTAGATTTTTAAGAATTGCTGGGGTTTTTTAATTTTAACTTTTTATTAGACACAATTTTAGACTTCCAGAAAAGTTACAAAAATAGTGCAAAGAATTTCCTAGATTCTTCACCTAGATTATTCCCCAAAGGTTAATATTTTACCAATTTGCTTTATCAGTGCCCCCTCCTTCCCTCCTACCCATCCATCTATCCATCCATCCATCCATCCATCCATCCATCCATCCATCCATCCATCCATCCATCCACCCATCCACCCATCCACCCATCCATCCACCCACTCCCCTATCCACCCACCCATGCATCATCGATCCACCCATCCACCCCATCCATCCATCATCCACCTATCCTCCCATCTGTCTATCCATCCATCTTATCTATCTTTTTTTTTTTTAGCTGTTTGAGAGTCATTTGCAGACATGATGCCCCCTCTAGCTTGCAATACTCTGTTGTGTATTTCCTGAAAGCAAGCATATATAACCACAGTACAGTTATCAAAGTCAGGAAATGAACGTTGATGCAATACTATAATCTAAGACCTTATTCAGTTTTCACCATTTGTTCCAATAATGTCCTTTATAGCAAACTAAAACCCCGGCTCACACACTGCATTCATTTGTCCTGTCTCTTTAGTCTGCTTTAATCTGGAGCAGCCCCTCTGTCTTTCCTTGGGTGTCTTGGTCATCTAGTGCTGCTGTAACAGAAATACCACAAGTGGATGGCTTTAACAAAGAGAAGTTTATTTCCTCACAGGAAAGTAGGCTAAAGTCCAAATTCAGGGGATCAGCTCCAGGGGAAGGCTTTCTCTCTCTGTTGGCCTTCTCATCCATGTTCCCTGGACTAGGAGCTTCTTCATGCAGGAACCTCAGGTCCAAAGGACGCACTCTGCTCCCAGCACTGCTTTCTTGGTGCTATGAGGTCCCCAATTCTCTGCTTGCTTCCCTTTCCTTTTATCTCCTGTAAGATAAAAGGTGGTGCAGGCCACACCCTAGGGAA